CCCTGTATAAGCCTTGTAGAACACCATCTGGAATATTGTATAGAATCTCTTTAAAAAAGCCCTATACATGATAGTCCTCGTATACCTTGTATATACCCTTGAGAATCCACTTTGGCATGCCTGACATCTCTTAAAAGCCCTAGGGGGTAGCATATATATATATATATGTTTTGGTATAAATTCACACACCTGCACATACATATATGCACATTGCATAAGTGCCTCCAGCGTGCGCCTTCATAGTCATGGCAGTGAGAGAGGTGCGCCAGTGGCAAATTCTGTGGCAATTTCTGGGGATAGAACCGTGAGTTAGGGGCCATTAGGAAGCTTTCAAACAGGCAGAGACAACCCTGAGCCCAAAACCTCCCCCGAAGCCTGAGCCCTTCTAGCTTTTCTGTCTTGGAAGAAGACTGTCTGGTGCTTAGTAGGGAATGGGGGAATGGGTTTAGGGACTACTATAAGGGACCTTAAGGGACTATCATAGGGATCCATTCCCCCATTCCCTACTAAGCAGAAGAGGTCTCACTGCACGACTCCTTTCGCCTCCTTCGGGGCCATCTGCAAAGCTTCCTGGATGATGCTTCGGGCCGCAGGAACTCTCCCCGACTGGTGGCCTGGGTGCCCGAGACTGCCCCTGTCGGGCCGGAGGAGCCCTTTAGGTGGGAGCTGTCCTTGTGCAAGAGCTTGGTACCTTTCCGATACCCTAAGACTCTCAGAGTGCCCGAAGAAGGGGGAGGAATCAAGCGCAACCCGAGGTGGAGCTTCGTGAGCTCTGGCAGCTGTACTGTGCTGCCGGACCATCTCCAGAGCTTGGATGCCTTGACTGCTGCTGGGCTGGTGGGGAAGGATCTGGATGAAGCTGGGATCCGCACCTGGCTTGCCGACAAAGCCGGCAAAGAGTGTGCCGTTGGACGCGTCAGGGGCCTGCCCTCGCACTGGACTGTCATTCAGGATGGCAGCTGCCCTCTCCGAGACAACGAGCAGTCCCTGCTGATAAGTAGCGTCCGGGAGGGTGAGAACGTGACATATCTGCAAAACTCCGTTGTGGTTCCGCTCCACGAGGAGGGCCAGGCAGAAACGCTCGCTGCGCAAGACGTCCTGGTGGTGGCACTAGTGATGCTTCCGGGCTCGACGAAGTTTTCGCATATGCCTGTTCATGAGTCACGCATCCTCTGACGCATGGGGTTTTAACGGTTTTAGTCGCTGCGCATGACACAATCATGAGGAGGGCACTTCCATTGTGGGGGGTCTAGGGGCGGGTCGTGAGGGATGTGAGGGTGCCCAAGCAAGGCCATTTCAAGCGACGGCAGTGCAATAGTGAGATATCTTTGTGAGGACAAGCATGTACATCCAAGGTTCTGCCGCCAGCTGCACATCACAGACCTAGAAATACGAGTGTGCCGCGCTGGCCCACTGACTCAAACTGGTCCAGGAAGCCTGCATCAATCTGAGCCGATAGGCTCTGACTTCTGCATGCCTTAGCTGCCTTAGCTGGGTGGGCCCAGGTGATAAGGTCTGCGTAACCTGGGCGGCCCTGCAGCTGGACGAGACCGTCCAGATCCAAGAAGGATTTGCAAGCTTCCGCGTGGTTCTGCGTGGACGTGGGTTTCAACTGACGAAGCAGACGCATCGAGCTATGCATGGAAGTAGGTGCTGATCCCCTGAATTCTTCACCCCTATCACCGCTTTGCCTGCAGGCGCCAGGCTAAATCCTTTGCATTGTTGCCCGAGGCTGGCTACCTCTGTGCCGAGCGCTGGGGCAACTGCCGCTTCCCGGTTGGCTTCGGGCGCCCAGAACTGCCCGAGGCCGCAAGGGCTGAAAAGACTCGTGAGTTCCGGTAGCACGGAAGCAGAGATCATGCTCCTGGAAGTGAGAAGTCTCCTGCAAGGCTGCGACTGTACTTTGTTTGCATGATTATTGTCTCCTGCGATTCCAGCGCTTTTCCTCGTCTAGAAACTTAAGCAGTCATTGTTCCGGAGATTAGGTCAAGACCGGCTTTTGGGATGAAAGGCGCCGAAGGCTAATCCATGACTAGTGACCAATGACTCTGACCCTTTGCTGGAGAGTTTCCTGCATCTTGCAGCCGTTGCAGGAAAAGGCCGTGCATGATTTGGACGCAAGAACAGGACTGCCAAGGGCACAAGCACAAGAACGCAAGGGTCTCGGCTAAACGTGCGCATTTCGAACAGGAGCTTCCCTGAAGTTCACCTTGCTGAATCGTCAGGGCCGTGTGTGGACCCTTATCGCAGGAGGCGGCGCTAGTGTCGTGGCCCGGCGGACACTAAGAAGACGACGTGTCCTTGAGTGGTGCAGTCGCGTCGGATGTCTTGACGCGCTTTTTCGGCGAAGGTGTACACGGACACCATCTGTGAGTACGGCTATGCGAAGGAGCTGGCAAACTACGGCGAATACTCAGGCGACCCCCCTGAGGAGTTTGTCTACGAGCTGCTGGGCTGCATTTCGCGGTAGCAAAGCATCCGGCGGAGGGAGCTGCGCTTTATGGCCTTCCGAGGTATGCCAAGGTGATCTTGGGAGTCATGACATCCTCACCGGAGCCTCATGGGATGCCTGGCACCGACTTCCGAGCTTTCCCCCCCCCAAAGTCTCCCTGGCCATGCCGCTCTGAGTCTCAGGAAGATCCTGCTGATCGGGGGCGGAGTTGCCAACTTTACGGATGTTGCCAGCACATTCAAGGGCCTGGCTGCTTGTCAGCATCCTCGCAAGAGCTCTGGACGAACATGTCGGACTTCGGACCCTCAACCAAAGACCCCGATGGGGGGCTTCCGGGCATGGCTGAGCTCTTGCTTCTGGGCTGATGGGCTCCACATCTGTAGGGTATTCAAGCACAGCTCCCGGCAAGAAAGACTCTTCTTCACGAGGTTCTAGAACAAGCGCATATTAGAACCTACTCGTAGCTTCATGTCGGACTGACATGGCCATTGATATTGGGGGGTTTTGAGGAAGACTTTGGGGAACGTCCCTGGATTCTGGTGTTTGCGGCTCTTCATACCCACAGGGTGTAGTGGATGCTTCGCTAATCTTGTGATATGGCGACGAACTTCATAGGGTACTGGTGGCCGGAGGGACTGAAGGCCACAACTTGAGCAGGCTTAGGGTTTAGGGTTTAGGGTTTAGGGTTTAGGGCCCAGACACCCATCGAACCCGAACTGTTTGGGAGCTGACGCCTGGATTGCCATGCAACGGGCCCTACCCGAGTGAAGTGAAGGCGGAACTCCTTGATGCTAGCATCTTCTGGTTCTTTATCCTGGCTTGTCCCCTCTCGGGCACGGCTTACTGCGCTGTGTGGGCCGATAGATAAATTGAGCAGCCCTCAAAAAAACTGCAGTTGCATAACCCTAAACCCTAAACCCTAAACCCTAAACCCTAGCATCCCTTATTTGGCAGGAGCACCCTGGCCCTCACACTTACAGCCCAAACCCTAAACGGTTTAGGGTTTAGGGTTTAGGGTTTAGGGTGGACCCCTGAACCCAGGCCCAAACCCTAAACCCCAAGCCCTAAGCCCATGCACATCCTAACACCCCAAACCTTGAGGTGGGTGGGTGTCAAAATTATGGTCCCTTTTTGGGTCCCTATTATAATACGGCACCTATTATTTAGGGTACCCCAAAAGGGACCATGATTTTGACAACTACCCAGGTGAAGGCCTTGAAAGAGTTCGGATCTGCCTTGAAGGCCTGCGCTACGAAGCTTGGACTCCTTAAGGACGGCTTGGAATGGTTTAGGGTTTAGGGTTTAGGGTTTAGGGTTTAGGGTTTAGGGTTTAGGGTTTAGGTTCGGAATCTGGATTCAGGGCTTTGGGCCTACCTATGGTCTCCATTGTAGTTCCTTTGGGGATACCTTGGAGAATCCTTAGTATATAATTGGTTAAACCAAAAAAAGGAACTACAATGGAGACTATAGGTACAGGGTCCTTGTTGACATGCAGCTTCTATTAGAAATGTGGTCAGCGTTTGTGGGCTGCATTACGACCCGCTGCTCAAGACATAGCTTGACCCGGTCAAGATACGGTCCCAAGAGCGCATGCAGTTCTCAACCGTCTTGGGTTTTGCCGAGTTCCCAAAGAAGGTGTAGTTGTTCAAGATTGTCTGGTATCGACGTTGCGAGTCTCGAAGACGGGCTGGAGGTCTTGTGGAGCATTTCACATTGTTTCCAGTAGCTCCGGGATGCCAAGGACAGTTTGGGTGCGCCGTGGTGGTCCGAACTACTCAGAGGGGCTCACAAACATGCGAAAAGCATGCGAGGACCAGTTCAGAGTACAAGCATGCATTACAGTGTCATTACAGATTGTCCGTGCTGCAAAGACTGCGCAGGACATCGGAATCCCTGCGCACGTGTACGGGCCAGAAGCTCACCTCACATCGATCGTGCGAGATGCACTTCTGGAGAAGGCCCCGGCTTTACTGTAGCCCTATAAAACCCTAAACCCTTGGAGCCATGTAGATCCCTAAATCCTAAAGGCCCCATCTAAACTCTGAGCCCTATAGATTTTATCCAACAGAAGCTCTTAGCCCCCACACCCCGCACGAAGCCCCACTGCAACCCCAAACAAAAACACTAAACCCTAAACCCCTAAACCCTAAACCCTCAGCCCCTAAACCCTAAACCCTAAAACCCTAAACCCTAAACCCTAAACCCCTAAACCCCTAAACCCTAAACCCTAAAACAAAGAAAGAGAAGGCCAAAGATGCCAGCATGCCCGTTCCGGACGTCAAGATCCGACAAGTCGACTCTGCGAAGAGGCAAAGACGAGGTCGGGGGCCGTCCTTCGTTTTCGGTTTTTTGGGGGTTATACGATACGGGGGTTTCAGAAAATAGGGGACCCTAATATAGTACCCTAAATAGTAGGATCCTTATTATAAGGACCCCCCAATAGGATACCTTAATTTTCGGAAACTCCCATACAGTTATACCTTTTCTGACGGTGTTTAGAGGTGAGGATCATCCTGCAGAGGCTATGTTAGTTAAGGCGATAAATATAAGGCTTGCGCTTTGTTTAGAGCCTCCCAGGTAGCAATAGCCTTATGCAGTTTACCCTGGAGACTCAAGCCTTCGTGTATGGGATGCAGACGAAAGCGGTGCAGCGAATGCTGGACTTCGACACGCTCTGCGGCCGCAAAACCCCTAGTGTGGCGGCCATAGTCAACCCAACCGGCGAGGCAACTTTTGAGAAGTTTATGTTCGGCTCTGCAGATGTTTTGATCCCTGTATACACATCGTTGGAAGATGCTGTGGACAAGCACGGCAAGACGCCCAAGATGCTCGTCAATTTTGCTTCATTCCGGTCTGTCTATACTGCGACTATGGATGCATTGAAGTTTGCCAGTGTCATCAAAACGCATGCCATCATCGCAGAAGGCGTCCCCGAAGCATTGACACGCAGGATCCACTACGAGGCCGAGAAGGTTGGGGTCGCCATCATCGGACCGGCTACCGTAGGTGGCATGATGCCTGGGCGCTTCCGCATCGGCAACGCTGGAGGAGCGGTGGAGAACTTGTTGCTGGCCAAACTTTACCGGCCCGGATCCGTAGGCTACACGACCAAGTCGGGTGGTATGTCCAACGAACTGAACAACATTGTGGCGCTGAACACCGACGGTGTGAGAGAAGGCATCGCCATCGGAGGAGACAGGTGGCCAGGACTCCGTTTTTTGGATGTTCTGCTCCGCTTTGAGGCAGATCCTGACGTCAAGATGATGGTGCTGCTGGGCGAGGTAGGTGGACGTGAGGAGTTTCTCGTAGCAGAAGCCCTCCAAGACGGACGCATCACCAAACCGCTCGTCGCCTGGTGCTGTGGCACAGCAGCCGAAGCCTTCGACTACGACGTCCAATTTGGCCATGCAGGCGCCTAAACCCTAAACCCTAAACCCTAGACCCTAGACCCTAAACCCTACCCTAAACCCTAAACCCTAAACCCTACCCTAAACCCTAAACCCTATAAACCCTAAAGGCGCTCGGGCGCGTGCAGCCGACGAGACGGCGGGGTCCAAAAACCGGGCGCTTGCCAAGGCGGGAGCTCACGTGCCCCGCAGCTTTGACGAGTTTGGCGACCTCATCGCCTTGGTCTATCAGGCTCTGGTCAAGGCGTGGGATCTGAGCAACTTCCCATGGGCCGCAATCGTCAATCGTGTGAGTGATGGAAGCCCGCTCTATTGAGCCTGGGTGTTAGGTCTTTTTCTGTTTTTTAACCTGTCATCCTTGAGAGTTCAGAGATGGGCGACGCTTGCTGTGGTAGTGACTCTGAGTCCACATGCCCTCAGGCAGGCAGCATCGTTGTTGCCAGCGAGCCTCCGGTGCCGAAGCTTCCAAGCGACTACGAGTCGCTTCGAAAGAAAGGCCCCTGCTGTGCACCTACCAGGCTTGAAGCTTGAGGTTTTCGCGCTTAGGCCAAGCCCGCACTGCCACGAACTCGTAGTGGCGGAGGGGTTTGAGAAAATCGATCCTCCAACAGTCTCATCAAGACTCCGAGTGCACCTCTTCACCTCTGCAACTCAGACCCAAAGATGCCAGGCATGGTCCGCAAGCCTGCGAATTTCGTTTGCTCCATTGCCGATGACCGGGGAGCAGAACCGACCTATGCCGGGGTGCCTCGTGGAACGAGGGACATCTGGATTTTACTGGGCCATTTCTTGAAACCCCCTTTCGCCAATCTTAGGCATTTCTCGAGCGTCAGGTCCAAGAAGCCGTCGTGGTTTCAGCATGTGTCGTTCAGCGCATGTCGTCGAATATTTCTTGGCGGATGTCTTTCGGTGCATCATGGGGTTTGTGGACAGAGGGCGCGCATCCTGTAATCGAGAGTATGGAGAGGTGCCCATCTCGGAGATTGCCAAGGACGAGGCACTGTAGGGCTATGCCGAATGGCGGTCGGGTTCCGAAATGAAGCCCAGCTTGGTCGGATCAGTTTGATCAACTCCGACCATGGTAAGATATGGTAAGAAAGGGAGGGTACAGCAAAGTAATGTAGTGTTAGTATAGCACTTGTCGAGGAAGTCGGTCCCCTTTTCCCTCACTTTTGCTGTCGCTTTAGCTTGCGAGCAGAACACATTGTGTTGACGGGATGATCATGGAGCACGAAATTGCGCGCACATCCCGGCGACTTGAAGAATCGTACACTTCTATTGCCTCGAAAGCGGATTGCTCACCGATTTGAAGATATTACGACGGGATGAATGAATGCATGCAGTTCTTACATACCTGCACTGCATTACGCGGCATTACATTACTGTACATCACGTACATTGCATAGGATTGCACTACATTGCCTGGGTCGCACTACATTACATTACATACAACAGACATTAGATTACTTACATCAGATGGTTTACATCCTTCCATGCAAACACACATGCATATATAGTGAATGGTTGTTCACATCAGTTCAGACACGCAGGGATGATGGTTGCCTCTGACCGGTGCCAGGAACTCGGCATTGGTGGCGCTATTTCGCTGCTGTGGTTCAGGCTTGCGGTACATGGATCCGGCACGCTCTGCACAACCCAGCTACAGTACAAACCAGCCACAAGGGACATGCCGCGTTCAAGTGTCAATCGTTGTTCGAGTCGTGATCTTGGTTTTATGCAGACCTGTCGGACAGGAAGAGACTGCCACGTTATGTCTCCAAGTTCATCGAGCTATGTGCTCCGGCTGATGGATGCTTCGGTGCATAGTCCTGGGCTGTCATGGGAGTGACCATGTGCTCAGACGTCACAGTGAGATGTTTGCAGGAAGTGCCCATGCCACACGATTCATCCCTAAAGTCTCAGGCCCGCGAGCATTGGCCGGTTTCCCCGAACCGACAAGTAGCGCAGGTGTGGTCGCGACTGCAGATCATGGTCCGTGTGTGTCTGGCGCGCATCTCGGACAATGAATCGATGAAGGACCCTCCCAGATTAGTGTGTCGATAAGAATATATATATATATATACATACATACATACATACATACATACATATATATATATATATATATGATCAAGCTCTCGTAACATCAACGTTGTGTTTGCCGGCGAAGTGGACCGCCAATGCTCAGCCGCTCGAGTCGTGTGCTTCGGGACTACGAAGCAGGTGCACCATGACACATCCGAGCAAAGGTGGATGTAGATCATACGTATGGGCGATGGGCTTCCTGTCCGCCTGCATCTGTGCATTTGGCAGAACTGCCTGGCCTCAGAGGCACAACACCATCGTGGCAGCGCGGGCCGGGAAGGATCTGGTGTCCTCGCTCATCTCCGGCTTGGCGACCATCGGCCCGGCCCATAGCGTAGAGCATGCCGGGAGTCAGAACAAAGTAGGGGTCCCTGTAAGAACTCGGGTCTGTGTGGCCTTAGAGCCGAGGTCCTCGCTTCGGGGGTGCCCTTGATGACGCGGCACGCATGTTCGCCTCTGCCTTGGACGCTGGTCTCACGGCCGCCGAGTTTGTGGAGAAGTGTGGCTCGCCTTGGTGAGGAAGAAGTCTCTTCCGTGTACCTCTGTTGGAATGAGACGTCATCTGGTTCCCCCTTGCGCTGATAGCCGTGTTGCTCACCATAGCATCGCACTCAAATCTCAGCAGGCGGTAGCAGGTAGCCAGCGGGTTGCGAGCACCTCGGGAGAGAGGCGAGGATGCCAAGTCATCTTGATCCCTCTCCGCCAGCATGAAAGGTAAGCAAGACAAGACAGTGATCATGGGGATCGGCCATCGCGTCAAGTCGCTAGACAACCCGGACGCGCGAGTCGTTCTCATCAAGGAGTACGAGCCCGCCTCAGCTTTCTGATCTCAATGTTGGCAGCAGCTGCAGACAAGCCATGAGCTGGTTGTTTGGTAGGTGCAGTTGTATCGGGCTGTCGGTGGCCACACATGCATAGGCTGGAAGGGTTGTATGTCAGCACACCTCAGCCGAAACTCTACAGCTACCCTTATCGCGTCCAGCAATGCCACCCTGAAATCCTCATCCAAGGCCAAAGCCAACTTTTCTGCCACGCCGCTCCTTGATTTCGCCTTGGCGGTGGAACAGATAACGACCAGGAAGAAGGCGGCAGTGTTTGATCGACATATACATGTATATTACATGTACACACGTGCATGTATGCAGGTGCATTGATACATACATCACGTCACGTTAGATTTGGGTCTGTGTTTGATTGGACTTTGCAGCATGTTGTTTTTCTAGAGCTCTCCGGCAGTCGGCGGTTAAGTTAGCTGAGCATTCTGCATTAGAGCGGAAAGCCTCAGGCAAATCTCATCCTCAACGTCGACGGCTGCATTGCCGTTTGCTTTGTGGACTTGCTGCGTGGCTGCGGTGCCTTTACGAGGACTCTTGTATGCCAGCTAGAGCGCCTTTGTCCAAAACCCTAAGCCCACCTACACCACTGAGGCAAACTATACTGTAATTATATAGTAAGGAACCCCCAAAACCCTATTCTAGGTGGATGGCGTGCTCCTTTGTAGAGGAGCGAGGCCGATGAGCTCGTCTCCAACGGAGTTCTGAACGGACTCTTCGTGTCGCCGCTTCCTTGAGTTTTAGATCAATGGCTCTCCTCACACTTTAGGGTTCCCGAGGCGCCAGATAGCCCCGTCGTCACACACTCGCATCACTCGCCTCCTCCCCCCAAACCCTGTAAACCCTAAACCCCCTAAACCCTAATCGCCCTAAACCCTAAACCCTAAACCCTAAACCCTAAACCCTAAACCCCTAAACCCTAAACCCCTGCACCCTAAACCCTAATCGTCCTGAGCCCTAAACCCTAAACCTTAAACCCCCTAAACCGTAAACACCCTAAACCACATAAACCCTAAGCCCTAAACCCTAAACCCTAAACCCAGGTCCAGAACCATTGGCCTGGTCGGACATTTCCTGGATCAGAGGCGGTTGAAGCAGCCCCTTTACAGAGCCTCGGCGCGGTTTTCGAGCCGGGGAAGTTCGGGTTTTTCGAAGCCCGTTCTGGGATTTGTCGGGATTTAGGGTTTAGGGTTCAGGGTTAGCTTGTTCTGGGATTTGTCGGGATTCAGCTTGCTGCCAACATGCCCTCTTGAACAGCCCCGGCCAAGGACATCCGTACGACGACGTGACATACCTCACCGACAGCTAACGTGATCGTCAGAGCTCTCTGACACCCCACCCCGTGAGGGTGCAGACTCGATTGATTTTCCGACTATCTATCTCTGCAGGGCAGAAAACGGTCGCGCTGTCCTCACATGCAGGTTACTGCACAGCTGAAATGCACGCAAATTCCAGTCTCAATCTAAAAGGAACTTCGCCCCGGAACCTTCCAGTCGAAGGCGGCAATGATTTGCTTCACCGCAGCAATTCCGAGCACTATCCAGTTGCCGTTTAGGACGGGAGAGTCTTCTAGCGAAGCTGCAGCTTTTCGATGTTACTGCTACTGACTGTTGTATGGTGTGCGAGCTGCATGGTTGTTGCCTTCCTTTCCTCGAGCCTCTGACCAATTCGTAGCCCTTCGTAGCTGAGAATTAGGCAGTACAACAAGCTCCAGGAACATACCCTGAACAGCTTGGCATTAACAAGTGCTAAACGGCTGTTGACCCCGCAATCTATCAGAACCTACCCATACGGGTAGTTGTCAAAATTATG